TATTTGGCAGTCCTGATGCGCCTGGGGAGTAGATACTTGACTTATTGTAAAACAAACACGTATGTTGTCTTGAAGTTTCTTTTAACCAGCTTTAAAAAAGCTTTAGGGGGATGCAAATGATTTTTTTCCGAAAAATTGTCTTATTTGACAGAGAGCTAGAAGGTAGTATTGCAGTGTTAGGAATGTTGTTTGTTCAAATTTTAGCCCATTTACTTAGCAAATGGGTCGTTTTCTTATGCTGAATAGCAGAGCCGCAGTTGCTTGGAGGAAGGTGTGGGTCTGGAACCGAGGCTGGTACAGTTTTACTAATGTTGAATTCGGGGTGATTAAAAAGGCCGAAAATGGCGGTGAAATAACCGTGAGTCAGATGGCTCAATTCAGGTGTGTTTGCTGCTTGAGAGTTCAAGGTCAATTATTCCTGTAAGCCTCAAATGTGCCCAGGAGCGACATCGCAGATTGATATTGTTGGTCGTTGGGGTTTAGGTGAACTGGTTAATACACAAATACCTGAGCGGCAATACGCATTATCCCTCCTGTCCTTAGGTATGATGCAAAAGCTGGACGGGAAGTAAGGTGTCTGGGTATGCGGTGACAGATTTGATGGATGCGGTTTGTCATGGTTGAATGCCAATCTAATGTGATTACTCAAAGGAATGTGAGATCAGATAGCGACCTCTCTATCTGGCACCATAATTTGATTGGAATATGCTCGACTTAACTCTGAAATGTACTTAAAAGTGAAAACCAACAATTGCTTAAAGTTCTGTAAACCTTTGAAAACTGAAATGCGAGGTTCGAATTGGTGTAGGAAATACTAGTTGCGCCCGTGAAATAATTGAAAAGTGTAGAGTTGATATACCTAGAAAGTGGAATGGAACCGAAAATATTTCAATTACTATTGACAAGTACGAGAATATAGTCTACTAAAAGACAAATGTAGTGGAATATTCTCCTCAAACAATGAGATTAATAAACAACTGTTTACCATGGCTTAAACGGATACTGGTGATCGGTAGTTGTCAAATTGTTAGGACTTTTCGAGATGTCAGAAACATCAAAATTGTGAATAATTGGAACGCTGAGGGTAAAGATATGGCGTAAGTTTAACTCTACACAAGAAAGTGTAGAGAGCGCTGATAACAACAAAAGAAGCAGGAACCATGTGAAATAATTTCAACAACAGGTAATTTATTTTGAAGTAGACGCAAGTGCTACTAGAAAGAAATAAGGAGCAACTATAAGAGTAGTGTTGTGATTTCAAACCAAACGATGCGCAATAAACCTCTGCATCCCCAAACATGTGTCAACAACTTTGAAACTTCAAGCATCTAGGGTACCACTTCCTCCTATTTAAAAAATTATTTATGGTCTAAACTGGAAGTCCGATAAGCCGATGAAATACACACTAGTCAATCCTAAATTCGTTTAATACAGGATCGTACAGGAATATAAATATGTTAATGCGAAATCGAGCGGTTTTATATTACAATTTGCGCATTTTAAAAGAAGAACGGGAATAGGCTAAGTTAAAAAATAATCAAATAATCTAGTTGCATTAACCTTAAAAGCTTAATTGGTAGGTGCCCGGTCGAGGTTAAGCTATTGGATTCTTTCAGGTATTCAAGGCGTATAATAAGACCAAAATTAACCCTCAGTAGATGACTAAACTATGCTACATTATTATGGTTGTGTGCAGATGTTACGTAAGCTTGAATGCTGGACGTGTGCATAAAAGAGCATTTTCAAGAATTGTAAATTTATTTTGAGGATAAATAATCAAACTTACCCTTTACCATAAATTAAACGACCTGATTTTCCATTATACGGTATTTTACTGCAGAAAAGTATAGGATATTCTGCCCTTTCTTGTGGCAAAAACTCTAGAATTTGAACAATATTTGTTGCGACAAATATTTTATTATTTTTCGCTTTTAATTTTTGTGAAAAAGCAAGGTTCTATTTTTGATGGTTACATGATGTTTTTAAAAATTGTGAAAAATTTTAGATGATGCTGCTGCTTTCGTGGAAGCTTTACTCAAGGAGGCCAGCCATTGGCGCTTTTTTTATTATTTGTGTGTGTTGCTGCGTTTTGGTTTGTTTTCACGAAGGTGCGCTTTTTTCGTATTTCAATCATTCATTAACCCTCATATTTGCTTATGTGGTTTGTATGTTAGGTAATGGTCTGTTGAAGGAGAGTTTGCTTTAATCTTTTGTTATTCACCGAAAATTCAAACAAACTCCCAATATTCAATGATGTATCGGATATTATCTAATCTCTTACCACTCGTTTCTTGCACACAGCTTGTCAGTTCATAGCATTTAATTAGCCTAGGGTAAGATTCGTCCTTGCGTTTACTTTAGCTGACATTAACTTCTTAAATTTTGCGACTATTTTACGATTCCTGCACTACTGTCCATTCACTACACTTATCCTTATCTTTTGTTGGCCTCATTCTTCGTGGTAGTCTTCATATTATTTAAATTGTGGTTAGGAAATTATAATTCTTTGTATATGCCGCCACATTATATACCAGGTTTATATTATTGCCCTAATCGCTGGAGTTGGTTGAGGAATCACTTTTTCATTATCAAGTATAAAAGAAGTGCTTAAAACCATGCGAGGCACTGAAAGAAAGCAAGAGTTATCGGCCTGCGTTCTAGTAGTTTGTCTATGCAACTAAAATAAATTGTTTCGTTTGTCTTTGACTCCTGTTGAGGTCGTTTAGCTCCAACCTTCCTTCGGGAATTAAAAGTAGTTATCAATTTAGCATTTAATCTTATCAACCGGTGACTGAATAGCAACTGTCAAGGTCCACTGTGTTACTTATTGTCAGGAATGTGCAAGTGTTCTTCCAGTCGTGATTTCGGTAACGCCACCCCTGTGTTTACAACTCCATTGCTCTCCTCCCTCTTGTACTTTACATCTCCTGAAACGGTTTTTAAAGCCGTCCTATCTTTTCATCAATTCGCTGTAATTAAATGAGCAAACCAAAATTTTATGCACCAGAGTTTTAAAACCATGTGTCTCCTTTTTAGAATCGTTTTGATAAACTTTTTTTGCTTGTCGTAGGACTGTGATAACAAAAGTGCTTCGCGAGTCTTCTCTTTCAAAGGTAGATCACGATTTTGCTCTTTTGAAGGTTTTCAAGGTTCTCCAGCGTTCTTGCTTGACAAAACTCTGGTTGGTGCCTAGTTGGGAAGTTTCATGACTTCTTAAGCGTTTCTAAAATGTTTTTGAAGATACTAGCAGGATGCCTTTACAGGCCTCCCACACTTACAGATGCGCGCCACTCAGTTTCATTATCCTTTCTATTTACTCTAACGGTCTCTGAAGTACCTTAATTTCAAACTACATTTAAAAATTCACATGTAGTGTTACGTCTTTTACAAATGCTACATTGGGTAAATTCGATTAATTATAATTAGATTTAACAGGTGATCTCCGATTTAGGATCGAGCGTTTCTGTGTTGTCGAATTGCGAAATTTGGCATATGAAGTGAAATAACATTTGAAGAAAACGTTTCTCTTTAAGTTCACACATCCAATGGGACACAGCGCAGATGACCACCTTTGAAAACAAATAAACTACCGTGTCGTGGCCATGTCTGATTGTTTTTCATTCCACTGAGGTCGTGTTTTCCAAGTATATTGCACTACTGAGGGGCTAACTGTCGATGTCCAAGAGTTGGTTGTCTAGTTATGAAGATTCTTTTTTCTCAGCAGTTACGATGTCACTCGGGTTGCCGGAAGCCAAGCCCGACACGATGGAGGAGATCTTTTCCGACAAGTGTCAACGCATCAATCTTGACCATTATAGCATTTACCACTTTGAAGATATGGTCATCGACGGCCGAAAATACCAATACCGGCTCTCTTCCAAGGGTGATGTAATGACTGTTGTCGGTACGTTCGCTGGTCAAGCAATACTCATGGTCTCTGTTTGGACAAATATGGAGCACGAAAATAGGATTCGAGAAATTCATCAATACATCCTCGAGAGGGAAGCTGCCGGAGTTAACACAAGTCCATCCCAAGGTTCGCTGTTTAATTTTTTACTTTTGTACTTAAGATAATTTCAGTAGCATATTAGTTATGCCTGAAACGAATCCTATTTGCGATCGTGACCGAATTTTCTGTATTTTTGTGAGGTATCACCCCCCCCCTCTGATAGAAGCTATGATATTCTCAGGTGTGATTTTAACACTGCACGTCTCCGCTTTAGCTCTAGAATATTCAGGAATCAGTTTTTTTTGTCAGCATTACTTTGAGAAAATCTGTCGCAATGTGAATTGGAAGCAGTAATTTATCGAGGTTGTTACATCAATGCATACAAGAACCTACTTGTAGCCGCTATTTTATGACCAAGCTCCAAAGGTTTCAGTAGTTGTTAAATTCAGCAAAATAGTTTGAGCAGACCCAAGGCCACGCTTACTTCGTGGTTACTTTGCAACGGTTGGGTGCTGGTCTGATCTCGTGGACTTGTTTGTGGCTTTGACTTTTGCTGCACCTTGTCACTGGGTGTCACAACTCCCTTTCGCGCATTTGTCCCTCGCGAGCCTTGAGGGTGAGGGGGAGGAGTGGATTTTGTTTGTGCCAGGGTTAAGCAAGGTTCCCAACTCCAGACTCCCAAAACCGAGGACCGCTCATGCTCCCGAGCTCTCCGTGGTCATGAGAAGTCTCGCGTGTTCGCTTGGGCTCAGCCAACGCCACGTCGAGGTCCCTCACAAGTGTCCTCAGTGCAGTGTCTGTTCTTTCGCCTCTAGTTGCCGCGCATGGGGCTCTGTCATGGGCCACCTAGGTGTCTTAATGACTACTTTTTTTACACAAATATGACCTAACACGTTAACGACCCCAACCTTGCCCTCATAAGTCAATCGGTTTTCCGTTTCTGTAGACGGATCCACCGCACCGCCGTTTAAGGGTTTTGTCTTTAACCGAGCCTATTGAGGACTGCGGTAAACTGTAGCAGGTAAAACAAAAGCATGTCTTCCTAATTGGTTTAAAACCCTTATCCTTCATTAGTATACTTTTGATTTTCATCCTCGCTTTTCTTGCTAAAAGAACGTTTTTTTCGTTTTAGGCCCCCCCTCTTCATTGGCTCGTTTTTAAACTGCTGTTCATATGTCTTTTCCGGCCCGAATTTGTGTAAATATATTACAATTAACCTCCATCTTTTAATCTTGCGTTACGCTCCATCACTCATGGCGTTATTTTTAAATTTGTCGTAGCGCCATGCGTTCTGTTAATTACTACTGAAGTGAGTTTCTCTCAGCCACTTCGAATGGCTCCGCCAGACGGCGATGTGTGTGCGCTTGTTGTGCCCCACCTCACGAAAGACGTGCGTCGTCACCAGTTCCCGTCTGGAAGGTACCAGCCTCCCACCTAAAAACTGCCGATATTTGGATGCTGGAGGACTCTGTCTAGCGATTCCTCCTGCTTTGGCCGGTCAATTTTCGCTTTAAGAAACGACAGTGGCAGCAGCAGCAGCAATAGTGGTGCGCCAGTAAAGTTAAGATGCAAAAATTCGATGAACGCCACCCCAGCTGATGTTGGACAGTGGTTTTATCGCTTGCTCGAGTGGGATGTGGCGGTGGTGTGTGCTGACACACACGGGTCGCGTAGATGCGCGCATCCGCGCCGGAACAGCTATTTCGGCGCGGGAGTTATACGGTTAAATCTGGGCTAAAGGCACGCTGTTTGCTATGATTAGTCACCGAAGTGAGGTCCTGCATGTGAAACAGTGGCTTCGTTAGAACCGGTTGCTTGGCACTGTCTGCGGTGAGTAGCAGACATAGAAGGTGCTAGAGTGGTGTGCGAGTCGTGAAGAATCTCTTATGGGTGGCTGCCAATCTGGACGCCTCCATTTCCAATTCCTACCGATTTTTGGGTGAACGGATCCGTGGTCTCAGAGCCATATATGTCCGACGTTGCCACGCCTCAGGGTGTTGGCCTGAAGGAGGTTCGTCTAGAAGTGTTCTTCATAAAGTAAAGGTTAGGACTGTTTGGGAGGCTGGGAGTGATTTCTTGGACATCTGGGGTGTCACATGGTCGATTTCGGTCCGATGACATGCAGATTTTAATGAACATGGGTGGTGGACATGCGGCGGACTTTACGATGTCCAACTAGGACGTTCATTAAAACGTAGTGTGTTGGGTCTCTAGAGCACTTTTTACACTATGAAGCAGCTTTAAAAAACGTTCTTTGAAGTTTATCATCAAAAGAGGTGTACCTTGTAGCCACGGAAGTTCACCTCAAGTTCTACGCATCAGTAACAAGAAAATGCGCTTTAGGCGGTGATGTTTCTTCATCGTCTGCATCCAGTGCATAGGCGATGTTGCAACCAAGAGGCTAGTTGGAGTGAGATTCTATTCATGCATTAAAACTCCAGTTCTGGAACAGTTCCTTGGCTTGAGGAAGTGCATTCAGAAACATCGCCTTGTACACGCTAATGTCCGTTTATTATTGTTCAATAACTGGAGTTCGTCTTAGTTCTTTACTTGTGAGTTGAGGGCATAAATTAGCCTCAGTCACGCATTCCTTGATTTGAGATTACTTTTTGTGATCCTCGAATCACACCGGGGCCATGCGACCTGCACTGACAAGACCCGACCAAGCGAGTGAAAGGAGGCAGCAGACAAGGCGCAATTCAACTGATTTATTGCTACAACGATAGCGTGATTGCATAGGATAATAATAACCTGCCAGTCTATGTAGAATCACTTAACACTGATCTTTTAACGAACGTGGGTACGTGAAGTGTGTATAAGTAGACTGACTCATGTTCGCCCACGCTTGCTAGCAATGTCCGCTCTCTGATCGCCAGAGCTTGTTTGGAGGATATTGCGAGTGCTGGAAATGTTACCGACATAATTTCCAAAACGTAACCTTGTAGGTCTAGTACACTATTAGCCCACCCACTCCAACAGCTGGGATGATCTTCCAAAACACCCACAAAGAAAGGGGTCTAGAATAATATGTGCGTCGAGTGAGATAGTGCGCAATCAAGCGAAGTACACCAAGCGCTCTAATGCATTAAAGCATTTTGTGATTTACGAGAAATTTTTAACCTAATTCTTGATCACATTCGATTGTCGAGAAGCTCACTCTGGATTTTATCGCCAAGGTACATAAAACACTGATACTTCACCACACCTTGATGTGGCACTGCTGTTTTCTTAAAACCAAGCCTCGTCCATGTAAGAAAAGCAAATAAGAGCCTCATTAACAGAAAATCGAGGGTACATGGGAAGCCTCTGATCGCAACGTTTTGGAAAGTCCACATTAGCAATCGCAAAATCAGCGAAAAGGTGATAGTCTCACACAATGTCGTGATCCACCTCACGCTGTGAGGTTTCCATCTGTAGAAACCTCAACACTTAATAACTCGGTCAGTGAATGTTATAAGCAATATTTTACCTACAATTAATCGCAAACACAGGAATTTTCCTCCATATTTTAGAAATGCCATCGAGGTCGACATGACAAATGTCCAGTCTCAAGACACATTGGAAATGATTCATCATAGTATTTGTTAGGCCCTGTTAGGACAACCAAAATTCGTGGGAAACGAATCATGCTCTCTGTGTGAATTCCTTCCTGGCCACCAGGCTTGCCGACGTTTGGGCGCAGCACCGGTTAAGCGGAAGGGGAAACAGGATGGAAGCTTTGCGCTATGTTGGGCTTGGTAATCGCTACATTGGTGTTAATTTCGTGTTTCTTTGACTACGCTGTTAGAACAGATACGCAGACCCCACGTTGGTCCTTGGTAGCCGAAAACCGGGTGGCATCTCAGAATGTGCTCTCTTTAGAATGCCTTGGGTGACTTAGACCCGAAGGATTAAGAGGAATTAATCCAGCTAGGAGCTGTTTAGAAATGATGTGACCACATAAGGTGATGTGAATGAGGGAGTTGTGTAACCTTCATTGTGCGAAAACAATCAAAATGAATGCTGGAATCCCCAGCAAAAGCCAAGGATGTAGTCGCTGACGCCGTTGACGATCTCTTAATGATGGATGAGTGACACAAGAATCTGAGTGCAAATCCGCCGCAAACCTGGGCCTACCCAAGAATGCAGAGAGTCTAAGGAGACTACCGTTAGTTGAGGTAGCAAAGAGAAGGCGCCAAGTGAAAGGCACTCCACGTGCACACTCAGAAAAGTGTGTTTTTGTGGGCGTCAGATGAACTTGCGTCTCAAGTGCATAAACAACAAAATCGTGCAAAAGGAACAATAGGGCTAGCAACGGTTAGAATGGTGGACAATTAATCTTACTCTAGGTATTTTCTATGAAACCTCTTGTGTCATAGCCCGCTATTTATAAAGGACATTAACGTTAACATTGGCGACTGACAGAAGTTACTCCTTGTACTTTTTTGACTGAGTCTGGCCGAATCCTTAAGCTGTTGTTGTTGCTTTCGGGCATGTCATCACTCAATAGCCATTTTCATCGTCACTTGCTGCATTTTCATAGGTAATTTTAATTGCATCCAACAGAAATTAAGCCACCACGACTAATTTAATAAAATAAACTTCGTAATACATATAAATAAAATTTAAACCTTTTCTTACTGTTTCAAATGGATGTCTATGTAAATTTTAGGACACCTAATTATATTTCTCATGAAATACACTTTTGTGGTGTCATCAAAAGCTCAAATTTGTGATGAAGTTCTTTAAAACACGAATTCTATTAGGAATATGAGTTGATTTATCTGCGTGCCCTTTACAAATCACGTAAATGCCACCATTAAATTACACACGCGCATATTCGCAGTCCAAAACCCAACCTCTTAGCAATAATCGTTTTTCTAAACATAACATAGCGTCAACTAAAACCCCCTGCATGTTCAGCGATCTCAAAAACTGGCAATCTTTTTTATGAGTTGTCCAATACATGGTAATGTGATAAACCAAACTCATCACAGGCTCATTGACTGGCTTAAATAAGCGGACTTGAATTGGCGAATTGGGCTAAAATTCAGCATGAGCGTCTGTGAGTGTGGTCAGGATTGCTGCCTCCCTCCTTTCTTCACAAACATTTAGTAAGAGTCTAAATTAAGTGCTGTTTATGGCATATGTGAGGATACGCTGGACGTATTCTGGTAATTATTCGATAACAGGCACGTTCCTATAGAACTTGGCTCAATGTTTACATAAGAAACTGCTTCACTTAATATCGTGTGTTAAATGAGTGTCCTGATTGCCAAATTTCTCACCCGAATTCCACAAGTCAGACGCGATGTTCGGTACACAACAAAATAACTCCTCCCACGCAATTTATTTCATACACTAGCATGCAAAATTGTGCCTAGTGGCATTAGCAGTTTCAACTAGGTCTGCACACCATCTGCTATCATTCAACTTCATTATGAGAATCCAACGTCACCGTTTTCGTCCGAGACTAAATTATTCAATGAGATTGTTGCGGGCCCCGGCATGTGGTTTTGAACCACGCCGGGGCCACTGCTTTAGATCCAACCCGATTGCGCCACCTTGATACCGGCGAAGATAAAGGAGACTGGAGACTGCGAGAGGACCACACACATCCGATTACTGGAGACCTCAACCATATTGCATTGTGTCCGTGCTCGTGTATTAAAGTGTGTACATGACTGATGCGGTTTGGGTGAATTAGGAAAAGTGCAAACTTCTGAATAGCCAGATGGATAAAACGGGGAGAAAAAGCAGATGGCCCTGCGTCACCGACGGGTACGCCGTTAGAAAGGGGACAAGTATGTGAGGCTGTGACGACTGGGTTATTGGTTATTGGACGCGAATCAACACGATTCACAGAACGTTCATCGAGGTCATGTTTCCCCAGCAGCCTGCGTACCACATGTCATCGATTTAAATAAGCGCTTATAAATAAGGGAAGACATTTACAATCAAGAGGCCTTTGTAATGTTTCGAGTTCCCAAGCAAGCGCTTTGACAAATCTTAATGGACTTGCCTGTTTTTATTGTCAAGGGTTCCTGGAACATTACGGTCTGTAGGTAAATGCTAGTGCGTTTGGAAAAAGGCTTGTCACACCAATTCATTCACCTTCTTTATGTTGCGCAGGCACCACACATGATAGGCAGCATGATTTCATCATTTGCACAATTTCTGGTATTTGGACAGTTTTACAACATTATTTCGGCTATAAAGAAAAGATTTTTAAGCACGGCGCGGTAACCAATACTGAAATATCACAGGGATGGCTTTTAAGACTTGGGGGTGGTATACCTGCCAGAGAATAACTTCTGATTATTTATTGTTGCTGGCAATGATGAACTAGTCGAATTCAGTTACTTAAATTAATACGATGGTTAGAGTAAGGCATTATTGTGAATGTCACAAGTAAACCTACCTTGAGCACCAAATGGAATTTACAATTACCATTGATCG